TCAGATCATCCTCATGGCCTCCTCTGGACTCATTCTAACAGGTCCATGTCTTTCTTGTGTTGGGAGCTCCAGAACTGGACACAGAAATCCAGGTGGGGTCTCAGGAGAGTGGAGCAGAGGGGCAGAATCCCCTCCCTCCACCTGCTGCCCACGCTGCTCTGGGTGCAGCCCAGGATATGGTTATTGGCCTCTGGGCTGTGGGCGCACATTGCCAGCTCTTAGTTCCCAAGTTCTCAGAAACTCACTGCTAAAATAATCTCTTTACCAGATGACAAAACACATTCAGGGTTCAGTATCTCAGCAGCAACCTGTTAGCTGGCAGATCCTTCTCTGTTCTTTTACATGGCCCTGGTGCGTCCCCACTCATGTGAGAAAGCAGGGAGCTGTATAAAGGAGTCTCATCGTGAAATTGGAAGGTAGCTTTCAGTCTGATATAAATGTATGTCCTTTGCTGAAGGATTTTCTACCCCAGATTTGAAAAGGGAAATAGAAACCTTCATCTAGAGGCTCTGCTAATTGAACAGAGAATGGCCAGTGCTTGGAAAAGCCACGTTGTTCAGCCAGTCAAGGTGAACACTCTCTGCTAACCCTGAAACAAAGGACAGTCAGTGCAGTTATTCTCCATGTTGGCTGAATTATTGTGTCTGCTGGTTTAAAAGCCCTAGTGCTGACCACACTTTATGAACTTGCTGAATAAGGTGCTAGGTGCTTCAGTAGTGGAAATGATGTCAAGAACCCTGACGTGTTATTTTTGGCATAACGTTAGATACGAGAGGGAGTGTTGATTAGCAAAGTCTGTGTAATAGCTGAGATTTATAGGTAAAAGAAAAATTGATTGGAGCTGGTAAGTATTGTTTTTTATGGGCAGAGTGCTCTGTAATTCATTGGCAAATAAAATATTTTAACAATATGGAATATTTCATGAGAAAAATGATAGTTGTCAACACGAGATTAAATAATAAATTCTGAAAATTAAAAATGAAATTTTCAACACGAAAATGCCATAAGTGAAGAATAACCCATACCTGCTCTTCAACAGATCTTTTAGAACAAAGGTTTTAGCTGATTTTTTAGTAAGCTGTTACCTTGGAGTTGCATAGTGTGCTGAATGATGTCTTCTTCTGCCAGAAGGTCTCACTGGTGACGTGATGATGGGGTAGGAGTGGCAAGGAGATGGCCAGAGCCAGGGGTGTTGCGTTGCCCCGACGGGTACCACGTGGGCATAGTTTGGCCTTCGCTCTTTCAAACCTGGTAGGGACTTAGTCTGAGACTCACAGTGGAAGAGGGAAGATGGAGATGAGATACGAGGAAGAAATTCTTTGGTGTGAGGGTGGCGAGACACTGGCCCAGGTTGCCCAGAGAAGTTGTGGCTGCTCCTCCCTGGAAGTGTTGAAGGCCAGGCTAGATGAGGCTTTGAGCAACCTGGTCTAGTGGAAGGTGTCCCTGCTGATGGCAGGGGGGTTGGAACTGGATGATCTTCCAGGTCCCTTCCAACCCAGACCATTCTATGAGTATGATTACTGCTAGGAAGTCTAGTTTCAGTAATGAATTAATGTTTGCCAGTTGGCAGAAGGAGGGTTTTTTTTAGAAGGAAGATGAGACAAATACCTGTCTCTTGTATGAATGACAAATACCTGTCTCTAGTCTGTTGTATGAATGTGAAGAAATCTGGGATCAGGTCTGAAGAAAACAGAGCACGTAATACCAGGAGTGGAAGAATTCCTCGATGGTGAGCCTGTGATTGTAACCTTTTCTGGGTTATTTCTCAGCCAAGTATTGGTTTGGTTTTTTTTTCTTATCCTGGCTCTTCTTCCTCCCTTGGAACACAGTGCTGCCACACTTCCATTGTCCTTGCAGAAATGACTGTCCTTGGGTACCCTCCCCTTTTGATAACCCACCAGTGAATTTCAATCATCAGAGAGTGCCTGTTGTGGATACAGAGTCATACTCCATGATTTATTGGATTGTGCATATTTATGTGCTCTCACTTCATCAAGTGGTTCGTAACAACCTCTGAAGTACAGAGTAAATGACATCATGTTCCCTATTATGCATATATTTATTTTTGTTTATGAATAAAATTATAAGTAAATGAAAAGAATAGCTCTGAATTTTTTCTACCTTTAGAATTTATTGTCAGAATAAAAATAAAATCTAAAGCAATGATATTTTTGTTATTCACCTTTTGTGCTTTGGTACCCAATTCCAATTTAAGTGATTGAGAAAAGAAAGGAATTTACTCCTTAACTAGCTAACTAGCTTTATTCTCTTCTCAAGGCAAATATTTTTTTAGTTTTATTACAGTGTAAGGTTTGTTTCGGTTCCAGGAGCAGGGATATCATTAGGGCCACTGCTTGTTGTATTGTTGAAGCTTACTAAGGAATTTTCCTGTGTGATGTAAACACAAGTCAACAAGGATTAATGTTTCTTTACAGATACCACATTGACATTTCAATTAACTGTCAGGAGTTGTAGGAGGATTAATGCTGAAATATTTAGGTTTTATCTTATTATTTTAAAATCTCTTTTCCCATTCTGTCCCAAATTCATTCTTCCTTCTTGTAATTTATTACAAGCTTATCTATGGCTTCTAATAAAACTTCAGTGTGCAATTAGGACAGTCAGATTTATCTCTTGAATGCTACTAAGGTTTTTCTATTTGATTTTTATAAGCTGTCCTTTTGTTTTTGTTTTTTTTTTTCCCTGAGGCATCTCTGACACTTACTGTTACAAACCAAGATTCTACTTCCAGCACTTAAAAAAACCCCATTTATTTTTCTGGTAGTCATCTCTTAAACATGTGTATTACCATATCTGAATTAATAATAAAATAGTGTGTTGAGGAACTCTCATTTATTTTGAAAGATGAATGCAAAGTTGTGTGCAGCCCTGTAGAATTTCATCTTGAAATCTTCTCTGTATTTGTTATTTATAGAAAAGGCAAACTCTGCCAAAAAAGCCTGCTGTTCAATTCCTATCCTAAAATCAAATTCTGCCTCAATTAAAACGCTCTTTCTTTTGCAAAGCATCAATATTCACTTTTATTAGATAAAATCTAGTAGTGAAAAACTTTCCAAGCCAGTTATTATAAGCCCTAAACCCAGCAAATTAGTGAGAATCTCATACAGACCGTGCTGTTTCATTCTTCCTGAGCCACGTGTTTGCACTCACATCATCATGATTGTTGTCACTTCCCTGTCTCTGGCGCATGGACGTACACAGGGTACCCAGGGACATGGATGGAGGAGGTGTCACCCAAGAGATGGTGACAGGAATATTATTACCTGGTGGTGTTTTTCAAGCAGAATTTGTTTACTTCTCTTGATAATGTATTAGAAACATACAAAACCTATGGAAACTGCATCCCAGGTGTGTCATGGTAAGTTATAAACAACCAGGTGTCAGAAATGTCCTTCCAAAATCTCCAAGGGGCTTTCCCAGGTTTGCGATGTAACAATAATTAAGGCTGGAGGTCAATTCCATTTTAAAAGACCAGAGCAAGTGAGAACATCCACTTCCACCCTAGCAATGGAAGTAGAATCATTTTTCCTCGGGGAAGTAAGAAAATAGAATTTCAGATAGATTGAAACTTTTCAGCAGAGTATTTCTGTCCTTTTCTTTGTCTGCCTGAACATTCTTTTGTATGGAGAGAGCTGTCAGGTCTTGTGTGGGACTATGATTTTAAGTAGAAAATTGAGGCAGATTGTGTTTCTGAGGAGGAGGAGATAACTTGCACAGTACTTGTTTTGCTTTGTAGAAAGGCAAGGGGAATAGAAATGCAGTTTTATCTCTCATGAGATCTTTTTAGCCAATGTATTCATATTATAGTTATGGAATATTTTTTAATTTACATGCTAAGTAGCCTCTGTCCTCTGAATTGTGGATGCAGTTGCACTGCAAATGTTTTCAGTTATCTTAAGGCTGTGTTTGTGATGAAGCACGTGGCATTTACTGCAGTGTTCCACGTTTGATACCTTTAAAATGTATTAAATGTATCATATTTACTCTTTATTAAAGATGAAAGTTAATTAGAGTTCTTGTTTGTGTATTTACAGGAGAGAAACCTAATTCCTCAGCTCTTCTTTTTCCGTGTGGAGCCCTGAAAAGAGAAGTACTTCCTACAGTACTTAGAGAAAAAGGTTGAACTTCCTTTGGAGCCTCATTTTCATTAGTCAGTTATAAGAAAAGTTGTATTTAAAACTTGTGAACCAAATTTGAAGAAGTAAAAATTGAATTTGCTCTTATGTTGACTAGAAGTTAGAGGATGGGAGTAAAAAAGGTGAGGTGGGATTGCTGCCCACAGCTCTGGGACTGAGCTTTGGCATGAGGTGAGCAAGGTGATGTGCCTTGTTCTTCACTTGCCTTCTCTTCTGTGACTTGGAAGATAATTTATCATGGAAATGTTGCCAGATTTGACAGTTTTCTGGTGGGTTTTGAGGTCCTCTCATGCAGATGCTTTAGTATATCTTGTCACTCTAGAAATAGCTACACATCCTTCACATCATTTTTTCTGTATCTTTTTAACCTAAAATAGTACACTGAAGTGCAATTAGTACATTGAGAGTGTTTTATTGACATGATTGAGATGGATGAAACCCTGTTTAATTAGGACTGTGTGTCCCAATTCCAGGTGTACCTCTGGAAAGCCTTACTGTCTATCAAACAACCCAACACGCTGACCTGCAAGAATCTTTGAGCAGTTATTTCTCACAACAGGTATTGGATGCTGATGTAGTTTGAGAATTTTTGAGGCATATGATAATACCTAGCAGAATATACTCCTTTTTTTTTTTTCATCTGTCTATAAATGATATGTGTGGTGATAAAAGAATATCCTGCATAGGCTTCTTGTTTTCTTTGCCTGGTGACAACCAAGAAAATCCTTTAGCAAAAATTCCAGAGAGTGAGTCCCTGAGTTACTCATTATCACAATTATAAATGAGCTAAAAAGACACAGTGCCACCGTTTGAAGAAGAAAACAAAACCTTTCACACTCTAACTTTCAAAATATATGTATGTTTCAGAATGACTCAAAAATAACTTTGTATGTAATGACATATTCACTTTATTCCTTTGAGCTGGACAAGACTGCTTTTTAAGTAATACCACATCAGAAATTACATTTAGTGAGGATATTTATTGACCAGCTTTATTATTAATTTTCATTAGTGTCATTGAAATATCACTGGACCTCGTTGCTGTACATTACAAATGAGAATCCAGTAGTAATCTGCCCTACACAGTTTCAGTGTTCCTTCTCTGATTAACCAATCTATGAATGTATTAATCATCCCATTTTAAGTGTCAGAATTCCAAGTGACATGCTGTTCAGAAGTGTACTGAGATATATTTGCTAGAATTATTAATGATTTTCTCTTTTTAAAACTTCTCTAGTACATGTCATTCAGCAAGAGTCAGAGCATAGTAAAAGATTTGAAGGTACTAATAATTGCTTTGATTTTTTTCAAGGTTGGCTTTCTTAATTTTCCATTTGTAGAAGCCTTCATGATTTCTAGGGTTGATTTTATTCAAAATACAGCCTTTCCTTTTACAAAACCTTGGCCTGCTTGAGCATGTCTCACCTCTTTTTAAACTCTGTGTATTAATGTCTTGTTAAATTACCTCCTGATTTTGAAGTTCTTTGTAAAGAGATCCTAAAAGCTTCTAGCATGGGCAGTGACTGATGCACTGTCGTATCCCGGTGTGTTCCTAGGAGGGTGTTGCAGTTCTGAACCCTGTTAAAATTTAATTTAGAGGAAATACAAAAGTCAGTACATATCTGTATTTTGTAACTTTCTAAACGCTTCTTACAGAGCTCCTGGCTTGCTGCAATTAGTTTGTTTCAGTGTACAGCTGTTCAAATGAGTTTCTCATGCGCTTTTAAGTTGTTCTTACCTGATGATATTGTGGTTATGTATTTAGTGCATGGAGAGCTGACATGAAGTGACAAGTGGTGTTGGTCTCAACATCCCCAGCAGCATGACGGGCTTGGGGACGAGTGGTTGGAGAGCTGCTCAGCAGAGAAAGACCTGAGGGTGTTGGTTGAACATGAGCCAGCAGAGTGTCCAGGTGGCCAAGAAGCCAAAGGCATCCTGGCCTGGATCAGCACTGGTATGG